TTTAACCAATCAGATTGTGCACAGAATCCAGTCAGTATTATAAAACGTGTTGCTATGTCTCTCTCGAATCTTTATTTGATAATCGTGTAGTTTAACAGCGTTGCTTTCTATTGTAAGGTGTACTTCATTGTACTTCATTGTACTTCACATGTACACCATTAAACTCTAGGTCGGGTTGCAACCATGGTAGGTATGTTTGTTACAAACTTCACAAAAAACTTTGCCGTGTGTCACTTTCAAAAGGACTGCTGACATCATCCGACCGACTTAATATGTGCAAATTAATGCTTATGGTCACATGCATCTCCTTTAGCAAAAGCAAATTATATATGTACTTAATTACTTAATGAGAGAGAGAAAATTTAAGTAGTTAACCATTGCAAATAACAATACAGAAAAAAGAAGCTAAATCGACTACAAGCAATATCAAATTGAGTATACATGTTGTAAACTACAGTAACAAATCATTTTAGGCAAACCTTTGTCCTGCCGATAAAAGACTAATGATTACAGAAATGGAAAAATGGAATTTTTTTCGGGATATATTATTTTTTGTGGTACTATGTACCACAACTAAGTTTCACTTCAATGAGAAGTTTAAAGAAAACTAACCGGACAACAGCATCATCGACACCTTAACGCACTGAAATATGCTGCACGCTTCGTAATAAATAGAAATAATTACTGACAATTACTACAATATATATTGGTGCCGGAAAAAATCATGGTAACGGGCGTTCACACTAAGCTTATGTAGATCTCAAATCGATTTGAGATCGCTTCATGCACTGGACGGTTCGCATCACTGCACTAATTAATCATTATCATTCCTTTGAAAATCGGCTTTGAAAGCCAGTAATTAAACTAGGTTGAATAATATAATCTGAGTCCGGTGCCTGAAGTGTCAGCCGACGGTCTCCTCGCCCCAGCCCCTCCGCAGACTATACTAATTTCCTCGCATCGAAGGCTAGCGTTCCACATGAAAACCAGCCTCTAAGCTACAACGCTGTGTCATATACAACTGCTTCTTCTTCATCTTCTTCTCCGTGAGTGTCCTTGGAAGGAGCTGAAGATTTCTCATCTGGGGCTGCCTGGCATTCTTCACTGCCATGCTCTGCATCTTGATTTTGTCCTGGTTTAAACGGGAATGACAAAGAAAGAATAATTTTCAGAATACTGCCAGTCATCTACAAAGCCTGCACTCAAGTGTTTAACTTCTAACCTGTTGTTAATTCTAAGGGCTAAAACAGCTAAGAAAACTGACTCGATTGCACCGAGGCTATGAAACGATTTACCAAATAAAATTTAAGTGTTTCTCTACGGCTGTTTCAAAAAACACTTAAAACTCCCTAGATTGATCACTCATCACTCTCGCCCACCTCGGTCGGTCGGTCGGTCGGTCGGTCGGTCGGTCGGTCGGTCGGTCGGTCGGTCGGTCGGTCGGTCGGTCGGTCGGTCGGTCGGTCGGTCGGTCGGTCGGTCGGTCGGTCGGGCAGTCAGTTGTTCAGTCGGTCGGTCAGTCAGGTCACCCAATAAAACCTTTGAGTTGAAGGACATCAGGGAATGGTTATTACCAAACAAAGGCTCAATACAAACGTCTGGCGAAAATATGACATAAAACACGAAAAATATCACGAAAAATAGAGCTGACTAGAGGAAGCTAGACGTAACATAATAGCTTTTAGAAATTCGCTACGGCGGTTAATTTACCTTTATCAACTCTGAGTTGACAATCAACATAGTGTTTCACTTACCCGCCGACGCAGCACCACAGTTTCATTAGAAAACTAATCACTTTGTAACATATTTACCTTGCACGACAACCACCTGAAGAGGTCCAATGTCTCCTTCTCGCTCTGCTTTAATAAAATACAAACCACATCAAAATTAACTAGTACGCAAAATCTCTATTAAGTCGCAAACCCCTCTATATAATTATCTCCACTAGTCCCCCTAACCCTCTTCCCAACTTGGTATAAAGAAGAAAATGATTTAATGGTCATGACCACCAGTTTACTTTTTAATGTTAGATTATTAAATAGTCTCCATGTATGTGCGCTAGCTAACTTCTGATCGAAATAAACCCACCTCCCTAAGAAGCCCTCCCCTCTTTATTAATTTCTCGAGACTCGAGATATCTCACGAAAAATAGATCTGTCTAGAGGAAGCTAAACGTAACATATTTACCTTCCACGACAACCACTTGGTCAGGCCCAATCTCCCTTTCCTCTTCTCTTCGCTCTGCTTTTTGAATATAAACCACATCAAAATTAACCAGGTAACAAATACAATGCAAACGAGAAATATATTATTCAATCAGGGACACAAGCTACTCGAGTTCTCCAACAGAAGTGGAAGCCCGGTGGAAGCTAATAACCTTCCACACACCGGTCGGACGCTCTACCACTGACCACTGAGCAACAGGAGACTTGTGGGAGCAAGGCCATATGACTAGGAGACTGCAATAATTAGCAGTGGGTGGGTTGGAAAATGAGTTCCATATGGCTAAAAATTAGATCATATATATTCCCCTCCCAAAGTAAACAAACCAATTTGCACCCACCCCCTATCCAACAGAAATCATGAATGTCCTATCCCCCCCCCCCCCCCCTCCCACTTGCCTCATATAGCATTGAAGAAATATTGGGCCACTTACAAGATTGGCTCAAAGGCAAAATGCAAGAAAGATAAAAGAGAAGAGAAACAAGGCTACAAAACACTGAAGCCATATTAGAGAGCCGAAAGGAAAGAGCTTGTGTGATTTTCTCCTCACTGGGAGGAGCACGCCTCAATAATGAGTACAGCCAGAGATATTTGGAATTCCACAATTGGATGACATCGATGAATAAATTAAACTGTGTTGTATTTATGACTTGTAAGGTACACAACTGATATGATAGGTATCACGTGAATATAGAGCTGTGCAGAGGAAGCTAAGCGTGCATGACATATTTACCTTGCTCGACAACCACCTGGAGAGGTCCAATCTCTCTTTGCTCTACTCGCTCTGCTTTTTGAATACAAACGACATCAAAAATTAACCAGGTATCAAATACAACTAACAAATACAATTCAACCGAGAAAGATATTATTCAATCAGGGACACAAGCTTACTCCCAGCGTGGGTCGAACCTATGACGCTCTACCTCTGAGCTACAGGAGACTTGTGGGATCTAGGCGATATAACAAGGAGATCACTGCAACACTTAGTAGGGGGTGTGTTGTAAAATAAGTTCCATATGGTTAAAAATTAGATCATACTCCCCTCCCAAAGTAGAGAAACCAATTTTCACCCAACCCCTATCCAACAAAAATCATGAATGTCCGATCCCCCCCCCCCCCCCCCCCCACCACCACTTCCCTCGTATAGCCATGAAGAAATATTGGGCCACTTACAAGAATTACAAGATTGGCTCAAAGGCAAAATGCAAGAAAGATAAAAGAAGAGAAACAAGGCTACAAAACACTGAAGCCATATTAGAGAGCCGAAAGAAAAGAGCTTGTGTGATTTTCTCCTCACTGGGAGGAGCAGGCCTCAATAATGAGTACAACCCAGAGATATTTGGAATTACACAATTGGATGAATGAAGAAATTAAACTGTGTTGTATTTATGACTTGTAAGGTACACAACTGATATGATAGGTATCACGTGAATATAGAGCTGTGTAGAGGAAGCTAAGTGTAACATATTTACCTTGCTCAACAACCACCTGGAGAGGTCCAATCTCTCTCTGCTCTTCTCGCTCTGCTTTTTAAATACAAACCACATCAAAATTAGCCAGGTACCGGAAAATCTCTTTTATATTAAGTACTCCACCCCTCCATTTAAAGCTCGCATTTTTAATAAGTCCCTTCACTCAATTTTCTACATTAGTCCCTCCCCTCCTTTTCCCAGATGGTATAAGCCAAGAAAATATATATGAACAGAAAAACAATGATTTAGCGATCATGATCACGTTTACTTTGATCACGTTTACTTTTTAATGTTAGGACTATTAAATATTTAAGTCTCCCACGTATCTATTATTATGTGCTCTGCTGACTTCTGATCGAAATAAGCCCACCTCCCTAAGAAGCCCTTCCCTCTTTATTAATTTCTCAAGATATCTCACGAAAAATAGATCTGTCTAGGGGAAGCTAAACGTAAACATATTTACCTTCCACAACAACCACCTGGAGAGGTCCAATCTCCCTTTCCTCTTCTATTCGCTCTGCTTTTTTAATACAAACCACATCAAAATTAACCAGGTATCAAATACAATTCAACCGAGAAATATATTATTCAATCAGGGAAACAAACTACTCGAGTTCTCCCACTGAGCTACAGGAGACTTGTGGGAGATAGGTATCAGGCGAATATAGAGCTGTTTAGAGGAAGCTAGACGTAACATATTTACCTTGATCAACAACCACCTGGAGAGGTCCAATCTCTCTTTGCTCTACCCGCTCTGCTTTTAAATACAGACCACATCAAAATTAACCAGGTACCGTAAAATCTCTATTATATTAAGTACTCCACCCCTCCATTTAAAGCTCCCATTTTTAATAAGTCCCTTCCCTCAAATTTCTACATTAGCCCCTCCCCTCCTTTTCTCAGATGGTATAAGCCAAGAAAATATATATGAACAGAAAAAACAATGATTTAACGATCATGATCACGTTTACTTTTTAATGTTAGACTATTAAATATATAAGTCTCCCACGTATCTATTTTTATGTGCGCTGCTGACTTTAATTTGATCGAAATAACCCACCTCCCTAAGAAGCCCTCCCCTTCATTATTAATTTCTCGAGATATCTCACGAAAAATAGATCTGTCTAGGGGAAGCTAAAAGAAACACATTTACCTTCCACAACAACCACCTGGAGAGGTCCAATCTCCCTTTCCTCGTCTATTCGCTCTGCTTTTTGAGTACAAACCACATCAAAAATTAACCATGTATCAAATACAATTCAACCGAGAAAGATATTATTTAATCAGGGACACAAGCTATTCGAGTTCTCCCAACAGGAGTCGAACCTATGACCCTCGGCACACCGGTCGGACGCTCTATCACTGAGCTACAGGAGACTTGTGGGATCTAGGCCATATAGCTAGGAGACTGCAACACTTAGCAGGGGGTGCTGCCATATGGCTAACAATTAGATCATACTCCCCTCCCAAAGTAAAGAAATTAAAATAATTATTTCTGATCGAAATAAGCCTTCTCTTCTTTATTAAAATCCCATCTCCTCAAAAAAGAAGTAACCCCTTCCATCATGTGTATTTAGTAAAAATAATATCATTGTCAGCATGTAGTGCCAAAGATCAGAACGAAAAAAAAAACAGGAATTATTTTCCAATAGTATTAATTTTTTAATACAACATTTGTTGTGAGCCGATGTTGAGCCTGTTTGACCATCCCTCACAACAATGTTGTGACAACATTTCTTTTGTTCTTGAAATGTTGAGAGGTTGTTGTGGCCGTTTGACCGGGTATGGTCACAACATGTCACAACAAATATTGTGATAATGTTGTGACCGTTTGATCGGGCCTTAAATTGTTACATACTGAAAGAAAGTAATGTATTGTTAATTTGTAATTTAGTCCTGTAATCGCTACTCAACATTAGGACCGTGATAATAATTTTTAAATCAGCCATTTCTTCGCAAAAACATTTAATTTCTGCAACCAGTGAGGCTACATTCAAAGACTAATTTCGGAAATATATCTCTCCATTTTCCCCTCTCAGTATTCAACAAACTTTGATTTTTTTTAAATAGAATTGAAAATACCTAGTTCTGGAGCTGGGGCACCTGCAAGGGGTACCATTTCATGATTCCCTTCTCCTTGATCTAAACAGACAAACAAACAAACATTAACAAACAAACAAACAAACAGAAAGACAATTAATTTACCTATAGATTAGGTGTTACATGTAAATTAAAGTACAGTACTGTGCAACCATGAAGTAATGCAAACGAATTGAGTCAAGAACATACCAGTTTTATTTCAAAGTATTTGTATAGGTAATCGTATGGATGCGAGTGCAATTAAAGATTTACACTACAAGTGATATTTGAAAATTCTCTCAAAATTGCACGAGCCATTAGGCGAGTGCAATTTGAAAGAATTTTCAAATATCACGAGTAGTGTAAATCCTTATTTGCTCGAGCTTTCATACGATTACTCATTTATTATATGACTGAGAAAATTACGCACGCGCGCGCCTTCAGAAATCACGTGAGACCACAGGTAACCCAAGCGCTCTATGTGAGTAATAGTAACGTAATATAAGCTAGAAGTTTTAAAACAGTTGTCAAAACAATGAACGGAAATTAAAGTTTTATTTTCTTCACCCTTATCACTGTCTGTTCACTGTCTCCGTAGTTTTAAATGGTTTTGGAGTGATTTGGAGCGGTTTGGAGCGGTTTTGAGCGGTTTTTGAGGGAGTTTTTTGTTTTTCGATGTATATCTATATATATAATAGGACAAGGTTGGAATCAAGCCGAACGAACAGGCTGACAATTTGTTGTGCCACGCATAAATGGCGACGAAGTCATTGTGAATGGACTTTGTTCGTGGTTCTTTATGGCTAAAGAATCGATGTAACTGTGTAATGACTGGCAAAAAAGGTGGGATAGGAATCTCTTGTTGTATACGGTAGATTAAAATGAGTTCCGAGTGGTTTTTGTAGGAGAAAATCGATCGTATTGTCAGCCTGTTCGTTCGGCTTGATTCCACTCACACACGTTTGTCCTACATATTATATATATAGATATACATCGAAAACTGACAAAAACTCCCTCAAAACCGCTCCAAATCGCTCCAAATCACTCCAAAATCATTTCAACTACAAAGACAGTGAACAAACAGTGATAAGGGTGAAGTAAATAAAACTTTAATTTCCATTCATTGTTTTGACAACTGTTTTAAAACTTCTAGCTTATATTACGTTACTATTACTCATATAGAGCGCTTGGGTTACCTGTGGTGAGACCCAGGAACGGTCATTTTGTTGGCTTTTATTTTTGAATGAAAAGCACGCGGTTTGACAAATAACCCTGAGCAATTATGGACGAAATTTGCTTCATACAGAACGTTTTTATAGTCCGTTAAGCGATGAAACCGTCACAAGACAGATGAAAGCTGACACTATTTCTGTAGTGCAAATGATTAGGCAGTTGTTTAATTAACAAACTCCGATGGGATAAACAAGACAAACAAGAAAAAACTGAATTCAGTCAACTTCACCGGAAAAGGTCAACGACAAATGCAAGTTCATTTTACTCAGACTGCGAATTGGAACCGATCAGCGGAAAGCTGCAGCCACTTGGACCAACGTTAAATACCACACTGCAGTTGTAAAACTGATTTGTTGTGAGAAACTTGTGCTGGAAACTGCTGCATGGTGTTGTCGCGATTTCCGAGCAGACGTTCAGTTTGAACCTTGCTAGCCACTGCCGGTGGAGCTCAGTGTAGCTGGAGCTGCACTGAGATTCTGTTGAGGAGGAAATATGCTGCCTGGATTCATGTCGTTGGCTGCGTTGCTGATGATGTGAGAGATGTGCTGTTGCTCGGTCTCGTTACCTTCGTCGTAGTCATCCAAGGACTGCTCCTGTGCGTGGCCAGTAACATGAATGATCGTCGAGCGCTCAACATTATTGGATCTCAGTTTCTTTACCAATGTTTTTCTTGCGCTATGGTTTGTCAGCCGTTTTGAAGAGTTTTGGAGTGGTGTATCTTTAACCAATGACTTCATTATTTTGTCAATTGCATTCACTCCAAGGTTTTGGCGCTTGAACCAAACATTTCTTTGGGGATTTTGGATCGGTGCAAGGTAAAATGGCCCGCTTGACTTCATCTCCACAGGACGGCGGCTTAAATATTCCTTAAAGAACTCCACAGGACATCTTTCGTCGCCGGTAGCGAACATTTTTGGCAGTTGTTGTCTCGTTTGATGTGCAGACCTCCTTGACGAGTTTTAGTCGGGTTTTCACGAAAAGCTACAAACTCGAGGCCATTGTCATCGCGACTCAGGCTCGATGTTGTGGTGCTCTTGCCTGCCTCGCAGTCCAAAGTGTTGAGTAAGTATTGTATTTATTAACGCTTGAGCAGATGTTTTGCCGAGTTTGTTAGCCTGCCACAACAATTCCTCTTCTTGAAGGGTTAAAGCTTCGCTGCGTTTGGTCTTTTGCCACGGCCAAGGTTACGTAAGGAACGCGCTTTTCCTTCAAGTACTTTCTTTGACTCGGAGAATTCTCTGTCTCGAATGATTGAGAATGGATACTTGACGTCTTTTAAATGGCGGTCAAGAGCAGCTTGCATTACTTTGAGACTGTCGGGTTCATATTCCTCCCCTTTCTTGTTTCGTACTTCGGCGTAAAATTGTTACAAAATTTTATCTAGCTCACTTGCAGCAGAATAAGCCTCGAGCCAACCTCGTTCCAGGTTCTCTCATCTTCCCGCCCCCTGGAGCGAGAGAAGAGAGACCCTGGTCTGGTCTGGTCACGTGCGTCCCAGATTCTGGGACGTAGCAAATAAGGATCATGTATCTTATGGGGGGCCTCGGCCGATACATCGGTCGTTACATCGGCCGATATATCGGTCGATATATCGACCGACACTCGACCGATACTCGACCGATACTCGACCGATACTCGACCGAGTATCGGTCGAAATCTCGACCGATACTCGGTCGAGAAATCGACCGAGTATCGGTCGAGTATCGGTCGAGTGTCGGTCGATATATCGACCGATGACCCTCGTGATGTCGGCGCGGTATTGTCGGTGGTGTATCGGTCAACTATCGGTCAACTATCGGTTACATATCGGTCGACTGTCGATCCTAACTCGATCGACATATCGGCCGATATAAAGGCTGATGTAAAGGCCGATGTAAAGGCCGATTTAAAGGCCGATTGGAGGCCGATTTAAAGGCCGATTTGAGGCCGATGTAAAGGTCGATGTAAAGGCCGATGTAAAGGCCGATGTAAAGGCCGATTTGAGGCCGATATAAAGGCCGATTTAAAGGCCGATTTGAGGCAGATGTAAAGGCCTATTTAAAGGCCGATGTAAAGGCCGATTAAAGACCGATGTAAAGGCCGATTGGAGGCCGATTTAAAGGCCGATGTATCGACCAATCATCCTTCGCTATAAATCTGAGTATAATTCCTAAACATCTTTATTTACCAATTGACACCTGACCCACGATGTAAGGTGTTCAATCTCATACTTCCTGCCATGCTATCATTTCACAACGCGCGAAAACTGCTAAACACGAATTAGCGTCCTTAGCAACAACTCTCTATCTGTAATTCAGGGTTACCCAAATTACACAACAGCGGAAATCCACCAGTTTTTGAAGTAGGTAATTAAAAAAATCAAGTAGGTAAAACATTCTAATTAACTCGTAATTTTGACACTTAAATGTTTTATTTTTCATAGAAAATTAATTAAAAACTTCTTCAACAACAACAACAGCAAGCATTTAGGAAAAGGTAAAGAGTACATTGACGCGTAGTTAAAATGAAGCTACATAGATATTTGGAACCATAAGACTATTAATGTGATGGGCTCCTGTGTGATGTTAATATGCTGCATGACAAGCGTAGGACAATCTGAAAAGGAGAAAAAGAGTCCCTGATGGGATTCAAACCTTTTACTGTACGTGGTACACCTGTCGGACGCTCTTACCACTGAGTTATGGCTGCGTCACATGACGTGTTTGGACCAATCGCGCGCGAGAAAAAATTTTGATGGATTATAACGGCCGACATACATCTCGGTCGATAGCGGTCCACTGGCAACCTTATATCGGTGGCGTATCGATCGAGATGTCGATCGATACTCGGTGAAAATATCGGTAAAGTATCGGTAAAGTATCGGTGAAGTGTCGGTGTACTGCCAACTATATCGGTCGACATACATCTCGGCCGATATGTCGGTCCATTGTCGACCGAGTATCGGTCGAGTATCGACCGAGACATCGACCGAGTATCGGTCGAGTATCGGTCGAGTGTCGATCGAGTATCGACCGATACATCGGTCGATACATCGGTCGAGTATCGACCGATGTATCGACCGATGT